AATTAAAAGTCTAATATATTATATATGTATAATTAAAAAGTCAGTCTTACCGTTAGTAGGCCTCATTCACGAAGCCAATCTATAAGGGGGTATAAGGAATTTGCGTATAAAATGGCAGTTGAATGGGTGTCCACTCTCACCCATCGCTTCCTTGATTGGTGGAGGGTCGTTAGCCGAACGTGTAGGATAGGACTCAAACTCCCACTAAAAGTATAATGAAAATACAAAGTAACTAAACACTTTATAAATTCCCAATCTTAGTTACTTTAGGAAAAATGTGAAAATGTTGTTATTCCATGAAATTGCACTTTGCACCTTGCTAAGTCGTTAGTTGAGCGTGTGTGGTTAACTGACACACTAATTTGGGACTAACAACGTGTGGCAAAGGGTAGCTTGATGTTAATCATGGATCAATGGAGCATGTGTGGTTAACCGGCACATTGATTAGGTGATATGTAACATCGAGAGTACCAAGCTAACTTGCATGGTTATTCACACCTTGTTTGTGATCCACGGCATCCCAGTCACAAACTTGAAGGGCATAATAGAGATTAAATATGCCATTGAAAAGTTCAATGAATCTCAAAGGATCTAGGAATTTCAATTCATTTAAAACCTAAAGTTCATTTTCGTTTTTCATGGTGGAAATTGGTAAATCGTCATTTACCTACCTTCAAATATTTTGCAATTGGATTACGACATTCCACTTCCGAATTGTAAAATATTGTGTTGGGTCCTAGCCTTAATATTTCATTTTGGGTGTTATATTAAGGACTTAAATCAACTAACTTGAATTTCTCCCTTATAGATGTCCAGTTCTGACAACTATGGTCTTCCCGAATCTTTTGGAAAAAGCTTTCCTTATGAAGATGATGTCCCACGATTGGATCGTGGAAATAGATTCTTAATACATGATGTGATAAGATTACATTTTGATGTTTTGTAGGATCGAAAAAGAGAAAGGAAGTTTAAAGAAAGAGAAGGTTGAGTCTGATCGCGAAGAAATGGATTTCGATCGCACGATTCGATGATCAGAATTTTGAGCTACTGCTTAGGAGTTATGATAGATTGTTTAGAAATATTTAGAAACATAGTTTTCATATGTACTTGCATTGTAAGGACAAGATTTTCCGCAATTTTATAAATAAAGAAAATTTTGATTTTATCTTATTTTACATTTCCTTGCAATGACATTTGTGAAAATTGATGTTTGTATGTTTCTATTTTTAGCAATAAAATGGATTTAATTCTATCATTTGTGGTAGTGTCAGAAATTTACCAAATAAGGAAAGACTCTCATCACCCAAGTTTCAATTGGACAGAAACTTGGAATCATCGAACTTGTAGTGTATGATGAATGAGAACTTTCGTCTTTGGGAAATTAAGACTAATTCCTTATTTACATGTATATGTTAGTCAAGTGAAGGACTAGGGGATCGGGTACACTTGGTTGTGCGTTGGTCAGGTCCACCACAAATAACAATAAGACTATTTGTCATGATTTACTAAAGTTAGTAAATATGGTTATACTTACAAGATTAAGTGTAATTTTGAATCATTGGAAAAGTTTCAATGTGAGGCATAACGAATAAGAAGAATCAAATTAGGCAGAAAGATAAAAGTTTCTCCAATCTGAAAGGAAATGAGAGTACTTATGTATCTTGTTTTTATGATCATCTTAGTGATTATGGACCCATATCACAATTGATCCTCTAAGGACACCTTAGTGCATTTGTATGGCCAAGAAGAGGAATCGGGAATTGTTGAAATGGTTAAATCAATTAAGGAGAGTCATACTTTGTTCCAAAATCAAGTCTTAGAGTCTTAGAGTCATACTCCAAGATTGTTCCTCGAGTGACATATCTTAAGTAGGTTTATAATACATTTGTAATTGGTAGTTGTGATGCCTTGGATAAGACAAAGACCAACTAAGACCGATTATATGAAGTGTCATTCTTGATAAGAATCCACACTGACTCATGAATATTTGTTTGTCAAGGAATGTTTCTTGACAAGAGAATCTTATATGTCAAGAAGTCAGTGGGAGTCTTAAAGACATCGAAAAGTTTCAATAATTAATCAAGAATAAACCTATTGTTTATCACTAGCACACGACTTGAGGTTTGTAACCTATCGTGTTGACATATTCTTGTTTTTGTGCCCATTCCAGTTAAAGTTGACTATGCATGTGAGTTCTATGAGTTCTCAATTGTTTGCATAAGGCAAAGCACCTAGATCAGTGAAAGTTCATTGATCAGTAAGGGTGATCTGCTCAACATCTTGGAAGACATGGTAGGCCCTTGTGCTGCCAAGTGGCAAGAAATTTAGATTGAACAAATTCAGTCCATATGAGTTTGAATTTGTCATAGACCTTGTCTTATGATAATGACAGACTCACATGTATAGGAACACATACACCATAAAATCACTTCATGGATTTTATCACGAGTGATCATGAGACGATAATATCTTATATTCTGGAAACCAAGATATGTGAGTTGTAGTTTACAAGTCGGTTGCACATTGACATATGTAAACGCACCAGTAACTTGGTGTTATAAAACATATTGTTGTGTGTGATTTGATGAGTAAATAGAGCAAAGACATGAGTCGAAGTTTATCCCTTCCTTTTACCCTAAGAGGGATAAAAGCGATATATGTGGGCCCCTCGATGATTTAGTGATGACAACCCTAAGCGCTTGGCCAAGCCTGGACTGATTTGATTTGTTCAATTAGTCAGGCGTCATAAATCAGAAATCGGAAAACAACACATGAACAGAGAAAATGATTATAATCCATGTCTCAGTTCATACGATATCTAGAATGGAGGAATATATGATCCCTTATCTAATGGACGTGTTATTGATCAGAGTTCGATAGCGACTTTTGAGAGTTACGATTGTTAGTCGGGTTTTGAAGTCGTACTTACAATTATAGTTATTAGACTTATCCAAGTGGGAGACTGTTGGATTAGGTGTCTAAGCCCATAACTATAATTGGTTTGTACTTGACCCGAGAGTAGCATGGTCCATTTCGGGTTGCCTTCATCAGGATAATTTGATAGGATGGATATTTGAGTAAGAGGTTATTTGTGATTTATTGATATATTATAAGTATAATATATTAATTGAGAAATCATATTATTTAATTAGTATTGATCAAGAATTGATTTGGAATTAATTTAGTGATCAAAAGAGACTAATTAAATTAACGGGAACTGATTATGTAAATCATTGAGACATATTGTTTGGGCTAATGATCCATGATTAATTTGTAATGGGCTAAGCTTATGTGAAAGTCCATAAATTATTAGTCCATATAAGTTACGGATCATAAGCCTAAGTGTTAGAATTAGGGATACATATAACTCTTGGAATTCTACACTATATATGTGTAACCCCTTTAGCCAAAATCGGACTTAAGAGTGACATTGCAAGAGTATGGACAATTTTTGGTGCCTAACCTCTATCTCATTTGTCTTCCAATTGTTCATGATGTTTGTGACTTGTTGGATGCACAACACTTGGGTTGCTAAGCTCTTGAAAGACCAATTCCTACAAGCTACAACAAAGAAGTAATCTTCTAACTTACTTTTGTGATTCATATGTCAAATTGTATGCTAGTTGTAGGCTTCATGCTTTGGAAAATTTTGTTGCATGCATAACTAGAGAAAACTGAGATCCAAAGCTATTAGGGTTGTATGTGCACCATAGGAGTGTATAGTACATAAAACCCAACATACTTTAACCTAATTGAAGGTGCCATATCAACTGACCATCCCTTTAATGCAGAGTAGAACAACTTTTCTATCATGTACAACCTTAGTTCTTCTAACATACTAATTATAGGCTTCTTTCTTACATCCAGTATAACGTTATTAAACCTATCATTTCCACCATTTTCTATAGAATCACAACATCTACATGTGTGGTAGTAAGCCCTTGACCATATTTTAGGGCCTTATCAATAAATTGTGTGTGCTGGTGGACAAAGTGTTTCAATTTCATTCATAACATCCTTGAAAATACTCTCATTTGTGGCATTGCATGCTTTCTAAAAAAGAAAGGTTGTCTAAATGGGTCCTACGATATTATTTTTTGAAATTTTGGGCAATGTTCCTTGCATATTGCCTATGCTTAGCTTGGGGTAGAATTTCCTTAACAACCTCCAATAGACCCTATATTATGAATAAAACTAGTAAACCCAAAATTAGATAAGAAGAAATTATGTAAATTCGTACCTTATCTTGATCTGACATCAAGGTAAGTCCTTTCCCCACATCCAGGTAAAGGTCAAAGAAACCATTTCCAAATTTCCTTGTTTTCATCACAAACAACTGCCCAATTAATTGAGTATATATGATTGTCAACATCCCTTCCCACAACACATAACAGTTCTCCACAACATATTCCATTTAACAAATATCCATTAATTCCAATCACTCTCCTACACCCTTCAATCTAACCTCTCTTCACACCTTCAAAACACATATAGAATTTGCTGAAATAAATTTTCCCATCAGGCATTGTTAGTACATCCATTTTCACAATAGAACCAGGATTTACCCTTTTTATCTCTTCCCCATAGGACCACAACTTCGCATAATGTTCAATAAGATTACCTCCAACAATGGTCAATATATGCTTCCTGGCCCTCCTATATTACTAAACTTACATGAATCATAAATTTTTGTATGACCTCTAGTCTAAGTTGCCTGATAATCAGTTTTTCTCTATGCATCATCTCCTTGGTATAATGTGAACCAAGCCACTTGTAGTTGACAATGAAACATAGCTTGTAGTTTCTGGAACATTGATGCTCACTCTTCAATGACTTAATATGAAATTAGTGTTCTTCACTCATCCATGATCCCATAATCTAAAGGTGAAAGCCCCTTACAACACTTGACTAGAAGACTTTTTTGTCATTTTTCAAAACATAGTTGATACCCATTATGGACATCATATATACATAACATGCTCTTAAGCTGTTCAGGGCTCTCAAATCTCATACCTAGAACAGGCTTTTGTTGCTTCTACTATACAAACATTGAAAATAGGGTGAAACAAACAATCCTCATTGTCTTCCTCCTCATCATTTATTGCATCTGAACACAACTTGTTGAGGAATTCATCAGCATAAGTCTTGTTTAGGTTTATCTTTAAATCATCTGGAATGATCTCATCTTCCAAACCAATTCCTTCAAACACATGGGCTATTTTTTGTGGTTCTTTTTCCATATTATCCTCATCCTGTATAACATTATCCCTCACATCACTACCTGAATTAAACCAAACCTCTAAATCATCCCCAATATGATCCATGAAATTGGAAATTAGGATTTATGATTCATCAAAAGCTGTATCAAGAAAATTGGCATACTCCATATCATTTCATATGGACCTAATGCCAATTAACAAAGGACGAGTATGAAGGAAATAGTAAATTTTCTCAAAAATTTCTTCGGTGAATCTTTCTAAAAATTCCATACACTCACCATAATCCATCCCAGCAAAATCGAAATCAGTAATTAAATTGATCACCTTCAACATAAGAGAATGGATGTGCTCTCAAAACATCATTAATGTTAAAATCAACTTTCAAGTAAATACCTTCATGATATTCCTCAACCATGCAACTCAAAGTGAAAAGAAAGCCTTAAGCTCAGACAAATGTTCTTCTCAGAGAAATGCTCTTCGTGCAACTGTTGTCTCTTACTTAGGTGAAATCCACGACCAAAAACCATAGTTGAAATCGATCAAGAGAGTGTGTCTTCATCTGCTTAAATATGAGGGAAACCAACCACTTTATCATTTAAATTCAAAATGACATGTGGAATTACTGAGGTAGTAGGACATTAAATAACATTGTCCATAGCAGTTGATTATAACGACAAAGGGTATAAAATTAACATAATACCTTTATAAAACATTATTAAGAGACTTAAATGACCTCAAAGGGTCAAAATAAACTTTTAGAACCAATTAAGGGTGGAAGCCAAACTTCGTAGGGTTTTCATGCCAATAACCCTTAATTATATAAAGTAGTTGTTAGGTTATGTTACCTTTTTGTGTCATATCGTGTTTCTCGTTTTTTAATCGACTCATTTTCATGTTTGTTAAATAAAACACGACATCGTGTCATTTCAGACAAAAACACGACACAATTACCCAAATTTTAGAGTAAGTCAACATGTTAGGAGAGATATTACTTTAATTTATATGAATGGAGCATTTTATATCGGTTATTTTATAACCCGTCATTTTAAAGACTAGAATATTGCTTGAATAATTTTAGACAAATTCTCATAATTAGTCCTTATGGCTTGCAAAATATTGCGCTTTGAGGACTTCTACGAAAAACGTCACGCTACTGGTCCCTATGGTTTCGAAAATTACATGAATGATTCTTCTGGCGTTAATTTAAATTTTGACTAACTAGTTTTCTTTTCCATATGACCAAAATGCCATTGGAACAAATCAGAAAATTATGTATACCTCAAGGATCAATTCTGAAAATTTGAAATTTTGTATATGTATATAAATTATAAATATAAATTATATATATATATATATATATATATATATATATATATATATATATATATATATATATATATATACACACACACACACATTATTTTTTTCGTTTATTTTATTCTATTTTTCAACAATTTGGTAACTTTTTTAAACCTTTTTAACCTTTTGTTTTCTATTTTTTTATAATTTTAGTTATTTATGGTTTGTCTATTATTTTTATTTATTTATATTCAAGTAAATGAACTTAAATTCGATAAACAATATCAGAACCATTTTTTCTTAATTTTTTTTTAATTTGTGAATTGAACAAGTAATGTTTTTTTTTTAAATTTGATAATGTTACGGTTAATGTTTTTTTTTTACTTAGATACTCCACCACATAACTAAAGTTGTTATTTTTAATTATTTAATGTAATAAGTAGCTTCAAGTTTATATCAGAGTTTTGTGTTTTAAAATTTTTCGTAGTTATATACTCTAATATACACATTTTAAAATTTTCAATTTTACAAAAAAAATATATATATTAAAATTTTTAAACTTCTTTCGTATTATTTTTAAATTTTTAAATATTTTTAATTTTTAATATTTTCTTTTAATTTTTCATTATTTTGATAAAAAAAATTGAACTTTTCCAAAAAAAGTAAAGTTTATGAATATACCAAAGTATATTACAATTTTGGTGTTTGAGATTTTTTTTCGTTTTCTATTTCTTTATAATTTTGTTACTTTATGTTATTTCTAGTTTTTTTATTATTATTTTGATTCAAGTAAATATACAAGTTATACTTATATTTTTAATTTTCATCCAACTTTTTTTTTGTTATTTACTTGAATCTAAATAAACAAAAACATTATAAAAACTATAAATAATTAAATTATAGAATCTATAAAAAATAAAATGACGAAAAGATAAAAAAAATTATCAAATTTTTGAAAAATATAATAAAGTAAACGAAAAAAATAAAGTATATATATATATATATATATATATATATATATATATATATATATATATATATATATAATTTTAAATTTTCAAAACGGATCATTGAGGTATTCATAATTTTCAGATTTGGTTCAAATGAATTTTGGTCATTTAATAAAAAAACTAATTACTCAAAAAGTAAAGTTAATGTCAGAAAGGCCATTCATGCAATTTGTGAACCACATAGGGACCAATGTAGTGATGTTTTTTCTAGAAGTCCTCAAATGTAGTATTTTACAAATCACTAATTATGAAATGTTGTCTTAATTTTATTATGACAAAACAAAGATAAATATGTAAAACGATTTATAACATGTACACTAATTAGGTAAAATATAGCATAACATTATTACGGAAAATATTAATAATGTTAACGTAATGTTTGTATTTCTCCGACTTTTCAATTTTTCCATAAGGTTTCTTCAAATATTTTTGTTATTAGAGAGATTTATAGAATAAAAAATGGTTAATATTTGTTATAACCCGTTAAGTTTACAATTAACTTTTTATTAAGAAATAAAGAAAAATAATCAAGTAGAAGTTAGACTATCCTTGTAGTCTTTTAAGGCAAGGTTGGTAGAACCGAGGGAATCTTGGTCGTCAAGTGTAATGATTTCCATCTTAATTACAAAATCCTAAACCCTAAACCTAGTTTTGGCACACCTAGCTACCTTCTTTTTTTGTTTGTATTTTGCTTGTCACTATCTCCTTCTATGCGGCACCTGTACATTGCACGTGCAGACTAGTAGGATACGTCCCTTCAATACCAGAAGTGTTGAGATTGGGAGCTCAGGACTAGGAGGAGTATCTCATTGTATGCGTCTTATTGTATGGTAGATATATTGCATCTATTTGTATAAACAAATTCATATGGACCTCTCTTATTTTAAACAACAGGACAAAAAATAAAGATTATATATATATATATATATATATATATATATATAGAGAGAGAGAGAGAGAGAGAGAGAGATGTAAATTCAATTGAAAAAAAAATGTTAAGATTAAGAATAATTATCAGTCAATCATTTATTTTTATCGCAAAACAGGTCGTCGCACCAACGTGACGTAAGAGAGGTAATATTTATATCTGAATATAAAATAAAAGTATATTCTTATATGAATCCACCACCTCCACTACATCTACCATACCACCACCACCATCTCCGCCACTAACCACCACTACCTTCGCCACCAACCACCATTGCCGTAGTCACCGCCTCCATCACCACCTCTTCCGTTGGCATCACCACCAATACTTCAACCACCCATCAACATCATCATCGCCAATGTCGCCACCACCACCACTACCGCCATCACAACTACCACCACCTCCGCCACCTCTACCACCACAATCTCCATTATCGTTGTCGCTATCGTCCCCACCACCCACAACCACCACCAACACTTTCCCTGCCACTACTATAACATCCGTCATATTCATGTATGAATAATCACTTATTAATAGACGTATAATGAATATTTATACTTATTAATATATGAATAAGTATATACCTATTCATATATGAATACACTTAGTCATATATGAATACACCTATTTATATATGAATATTATCTATTATGTCGTCCTAGTACACTGGAACTCTTAATCAACATATTTGAAATGAGTGGTCCATATTTACTCTCGCATTCTCAACATTTTTTCTCAATTAGACCTTCCTCTCCCTCTCTCTATCTCTCTCTCTCTCTCTCTATATATATATATATATATATATATAGATATATATATATATATATATATATATATATATATATATGCAGGTTCGAATAGATTCTAGAAGTCTGAAATCATGTTGGAAATGAAAGAAATGATTGCATAAGAGAGTAAATAAGATTTTGATTTCAATTAGAGTATGAAAGCTCAATTACAATGTTGGAAGTAAGAACTTGCAAAAAGCATACTCTACCTTCTAATTAACATCCCTATTAATAGGTTGAAAAAACAGTGAGTCGGTTAGAGAAAGACCAATAAGAATATGATACCTAGGTAGTAACAGACTGTTAAACAATTACACATATGTTACTACGAAAACTAGTGTACAAAACTTTCAGACCAACTTACATTCAGAATAATACAATAAAGACTTAAGATATTACAATTATGAAATCTTTCATAATATGACTCAGACACAACACATATAGACTACATCATAATAATCTCCCTTTTGTGTTGAGTCGAGAAAGTAAGTCTTCATTTTCTTTTATCAAAAACCGAAGGAGTAAAGCCAAGCACTATCGTCAGAACAGCAATTCGCCATCACAACTTATTGTATACAAACTTTATTTCATTCTTTGAGTTGACTTTGGAAAGTTAAACTTTAGAAAGAATACTATTCAGAGTTGTCGTCTTGTAGCAATGCTTGTCTTGCATGTACATCATATGGTTCTTCAGAAATTTATAAATCAAAGTCTTGTATACTACTTCGCAAGGTTCTTCTTGACAGGTTTTAGATGTTTCAAAAACTATTTTTTTGCGGCAAAACATAAACCCTAAGTTCACATGCACCCTAAAGGATTTATGTTCTCACTATGATTTGCAAAAAACTACTGAATATCAAAAACCTTTGAAGTACATTGCTATTTTCGAAAATCACTAAAGGGTTATTAGAAAATACATACGTTATGTTTATTGTAGTAAATAAACAATGATTCCTTCTTGATCTAGCTTTAGAAAGCAAGCACCAAAAGTCTCGTGCCTCTAATGGCTAACACCCAAACCTTAGCAAATTGGAGGCTAAAGAGGAGAGAGGATGAGGAAGGGAATTTTCGAAATTCTCT